CAGCTCTACAGCAGCACAGCACACCAAGAGCCTTCTCTGCCACCACCTTCCCACCACTGCTTGGGGTTTTCATTTCTTGCATGACAGCTTGTTAAATCCTCTCCAGATCCCAAATAAACACCCAGACCAGCTCTGTGGAATTATCTTGGATGCCTTTCCAAGCTTTAGGATCTGTCAGCTTCTGGCTGCTTGTATCACAGAAGCAGAGGAGCTCAGAGCCAGCACTGCTTCCTGGGATATGAGAATGTATTTGTTGGGGTATCACATGCTGGAGGGAAAAACCTGCCTCATTCAGAGTGTGAGCTTCTCTACAAACCCTGGCTGCTTTGTTTCTTCCCCTCAAACCATAGCTGCAAACATCACACTTAGCACATTTTAAATGGAAAGAGGATGTTCCTGCATACTAATTCCTGAGGGCTCTGTTGTCCTTTTGCAGAGCAGAATGCCCATGAGAAAAGGAAGAAAGCAAATACAGAACAGGTTGTTTCTGATGTCATTAACTTGGTCCACATTGAGGTGAATCGGTGTCACTATTCTGTAAATATTTAAGTGTCACAGCCCAACCAACAAACTCCGAACTCCACAAGTGGGCAAGAGAGCAGGAAGGCAAGGTCTTGATCAGGAGCATCACGACTTTGAGATGACCCCTCTGGGAGGGGATAATATGATGGAGAGGGCCGTATTCTTTGCTCAGCCTTTCAGTCCACTTTTCGTGCTGAAGGGCAGAAGGCAGCTGAGAGGCAGGGAGATGAAGTGCTGTGATCACACAGATTAAAAATGATGATAAATATGGGAGTGGAAAGCAAGCTCTGCAGGCACGCCAGCTCCAAGGTCACTGCCAGCTCCAGCTAAGGGGAAAATGAACTGCCACCAGAGGAAATGCCTGCTCCTCTGCCAAGCTCCCACCTTCAGCTTTATGCTGGGAAAATGATCAATAGCAGCTGGCAGCCTTTGGATCTGTGCATCCAGGAACTTCTAACGACATCCATGACTGAAGATCAGTCAGCTATGTAAAGCACCAAATAACTCCTCGGGATCTGCAGCTGCTAAAAATACACCCAAGCATTGTCCAGTACCCCGGGAGCTGCACAGCCCACATTGCCCCTGAAGGGAAAGGCAGACAAGGCAGAGCAACAGGAACGAGCAGGCCACAGCAGGGTCCAGCTAATTAAAGACGCTGGCAAAAAGGAAACCCAGACAAATCAAAGGATGTAGAAGATCATCCAGATAAAGCCTTTGCAAATGGGCACTTCAGTGAGCGATTGCTGCAGCTCAGTGGGCTAAAAGGGGAGCTCATTCCTGCGGGCATCACTTGAAGATCACCATTATTATGGGGAGTACAGACACGGTGAGATCACCCTGTTCTGTTGTCGATAAACATTAAAAAAGAAAAAATAAAATAGCAGCAGAGAGCTCAGCAGGACAGGGGCATGCTGGCTGGGGAGAGAACAAGGAAACTGCAACCAGCTGAACGATGCTGTTCAAGATTCAGAGATCTATCCAGGGCACTTGCCCATAATACCCTGGGACAATGCAGTTAATCCCTTTCCACATTTTCAGGCCTTTTTTTTTTTTTTTTTTTAAAGAAAATTCAAATAAACTATAAGGGGATTAGAAACAGTGGTGTCAAAAGGGAATGAGTTATCTTAGAACACATGAGTGCATTAGGAAATATCCATAATCTAGACCTGTAAGCTCCCAAGCATCCCAGAACCAGGTTATCCATTCCTATCCTGCTCCCTGAAATCCCCATGGTCTTCTCACAGCTCTTCTCCCCACCTGGAGCCCCACAGAGGCAGAGGCAGCATCCACATGGAGAAGCCAGTGGAGCACAGGGGCCATCAGCCTGCCAGTCAAGTGAGAGTCAGGATTCCCAAGGAATAGAAAACTCCCTGGAAATTTAGTCTTGTCAGCCTCTTCCGAAGAGAACAAGGGGTTAAAGCAATGACTAAAAGGGCAGTGGTGTTTACATAAGAAGGACCATGAGCACAAGCCCAGCCTGTATCAATATTAGCAATGACTAATTCAATCTATCAATGAGAAGAATTACAGGAGCTTTGGAATATGCCAGAGCTGCTGCAAAGCCTCCTTTTCACAGACAGTCAATAATGGAAGGAAAAGTAAACCACAGAAGTAATAAAAATCCCAAAATATAGCTACCAAGCACCTCCAGCACCTTGTTCATCCCAAAATTCCTAAATTTCTCCATTGTTTTAGTAGGAATATAAGGAACCCCACAAATACACTTCTCAAGGCATGGATGTGCCAAGAGTTTTGGCAGTATCTCCAAAAAAACCCAATGGCACAGCTCTTGCCCCCTCCTTCCAAAATTTTCTGATAAAATATAAGGGTAAAAGGTGGCAGCAAGGATACAGCAGCCTTCTTCCCTTGAACAGCAAAGTTTTAACACATGCTCAAGTATTAACTTACTCTAAGTAAACCGTTTTCACTTGCTTTTCTCTGACTCCAAAAGCTCTCCAATGAAATTATATATTAAAATTCAATTCCCTTAATGCAATATCTTCAGAAAAGATCTTAATGTGAAAACAGCATGGAAGTCCAAACCCAGTGTGGTTCATTGTTTTTTAAAATTATCTTTTTCATTAGGTTTTTTTTTAATCATGCTGTTATAAATCTGGGCCATCTCCAGTTCACTGCTGAAATGTATTATGAACTTACACTTTTTCTTTAGCTAATCATGAAGCACAGGCAAGACTTTGCAGGTTCAAGAAGCTCTGAAGAGAATCTCAATAAGTTTATTACACACACACACACATTCCAGGTAATAAAATTAATTATAAACACTTGCATACACATTTTATGCAGTTCAGGACAAAAAAAGATGGAGAGATTGGAAAACAACTGGATCAGCAAATGCACCTTTTGAATTGGGCTGTTTCCTCTACTTTTTTATTTTTCCCCAGGAGAAAAGTGCATGATAAATAAAATCCTGTTCTGCTGATTACCACTCAGATGTTCACTTTTTCTTGCATTGGTAATACAGCAGCTTTAGCAGTGCAGTCAAGAACATATTTATTGGATGAGCTGCATTTGGGTTACACCCTGTTTTGTATTACAGAGGCCCAGTAGTGCAAAGCAGGCGTGCCAGCTTATCTAGACAGTGGAGGAGAGCCCTCCTGCATAGGATATCCACCAGTCTCCCTGGAAAAATGATGCTCTGACAGGTGATAAGAAGATACAAGAGTGTGGTCTGTAGAATAACTTGTATCACCTGTACCAGAAGTGCTTCCCTGTGCAGATTATTCTGTCTGCCTCCTGAGGACAGACAGAGCCTCTGTGTGACACCCAGTGATAACCTGTGAGTGCCACAGCACTGCCCTCAGGGCCTGTCTAGCCTGGGTGTGATGAAAACCAGCACCAAGGACCAATTTTGGTCAACCAGCCAGTGCCAAAATTTGCATTAGTTAGATTTGCACAGCACCGTTGAAGAGAAGGAAGTGGCTGGTGGTGCAGGAGGAGGCAGAATTTGGTGCCAGGTCTCTGTAAATGGCAAAAACAAACCATGAAGTGATTCAGTACACACAAACCTCTTCAGCAAAATATTTCCTGTGTCTTGCTGTCATCAGCAGGAATGGAGGAAAGACAGTCCTCTCCTAGAGAGTGTGGAGAATGGGAGATTGGGCAGCTGATAGCATTTGGAGATCTCAGCACCTCACTGGCTAATTCCACTGAGGATGAACATCCTCCTTTGTGTCACACACAGCTCTGCAACAACAACCACTTAGGCAAGCAGCAGACTGAGACATATCCTCTATCCATCATCTCCATGACTTCAGCTTACAGAGACAGGAAAAGAGATTAAAATGGAAAAGGACAATGTAGTCTGAAAAGCAACCACGTGACAGTGTCATCACCTCATCCAGCAAGGCTGCTCCTTGCATTGCTTTCAGTTGGAGGCAGGAAGCACAATTCTTTTCTCCAGGGCTAGTTCAGCAGAGCCAGTAACCTCTCTGGATCCTATTCCTGGCCTGCAAGAGAGCTCCTTCCCAAGGTTAGGTGACATGGTCTGGCATCCTCTACTGCTCAGCATGCCAAAACCAGTCCTCTTCCATATCCCAAGGGGTTACTACAGGATAGCCCAGGAGATTTGAAGAAGAGCCCTCAGAAAACTGAGTAGAGCTTTGCTGAATCACAGAAAAAACACGGGTCTGAAGCCCTCTCCTGTAATGCTCACAGAAATGCTTTTCTGAATGAACTTCACTTCTAAAAATCACATTAACACATGGGCAAAATGATGCAGAAAAGAGTGATTCAGGCACAAAGGTGGCTGTGCAGTTTCTTCTGGTCTTTTTTTGGTATTTGTGATGACAGAAGCCATAACTTCAAGTAAACATCTAAACATGCATTGTATAATGCAATATAGAGCAGATGCTTGTTATCTCTTGTGCAAATCTATGTCAATGCAGGCTAACAGGTGCACAGGGTGCCTAATTAAAAATACCAGTAGTATTTAGTCCTTATATCAATTGTTAATACAGGAGAACAGTAGTAATGTTTAGGCACTTAAAAGTTGACAGAGAATTCAAGAGTGCTTTCTCATGCTGCCTGAAAAATACATCATCCAGTTTACAGTGGTATCAAATGCTTATTTCTAGGACTTAGAAACACGATAATAAAAGGGAGAGGATGTGATCTGCATGCAGGTTAGCTTTTCTGTGAGCTATCTGCGTGGCAAGAATATTTGCAAACTTCATTAATATAAATAAGGGAAGAGAGGGAAATGAGAGTCCACCCCAGAAGAAAACAGCATCACATCAGAATCAGCCCGTGGCGATTAAGCCTGTGGAAAAATAAGCAAGACTATGACCAAGGAAAGGGTTTTGCAGGTATTCCCACTGCTTCTCACGAGGGTTAGGTGGATGTAGAAAACGCAGGGCAAGCTGGAAAGGCAAGAACTAAAATTGCTTCCCAAGCCTCGCCACCTTTGACAGCCACGGCTGCTGACGCTGAGCGGGCAGGTCAAGCTGTGTGCCCAGAGATGTTTTCTGCTGGCAGAGAACAAGGCGAGACAGCCCTTGGTCCCAGGACCTGCAGGCTGCCCTGGCCACCACTAGGACTCCAGCAGGGTGTGCCACCTGCAGACCTGTGTCCCCTGGGAGTCCTTCATCTCCTGCCAGTGGCTCTGCTCCTCCTCCCCGCTGCTGCTGTGGCCCATGGAGATCCAGCCCACCATCTCCTTGCGCTTCATGCTGCGCCTGTTGTAGATGGAGATCAGCAGGGTGACATCAGACAGCTGGAAGAGGGCGACCTGGAAGATGAAAGTTTCCTTGTAGACAGGGTTGGGCTGTCCCCGGCGGATGGAGGTCTTGCAGCGAGACATCTCCTGGCCCACGGAGTTGCGCAGGCAGAGCTTCCCGTAGGTATCTAAGACAAAAAAAAAGGGAATGGCATGTTTGGTGCGGGTGACAGGCTAAAATGAAAGTCCCAGGCAGACAAAAACCAGCCGAAAAACTGTCCAAGTAGAGCAGTTTAGTCTGCAGCGAATAACAGAGGAGGGCTGGATGGCGCTCCTTGGTAAAACCCATGGGATGAGAAGAAGATGAAAGCACATCTTGGATTTTTCTCATATTCAGCTGGGGAGAAAAGAAAACTGATGCATGTGTCAGCCTCACTCTCATGGAAAGAACAGGATATCAGGTATCCAGTCCTAGCAAACCTAAGACTAACCAAAATTATGAGTATCTCTACAGATTCTTCACTTCAAACAGTGTCTCCACCTTCCCTTTCTCTCCCTCACAATCAAGCTTCATTGGGGCTGCCTTACCCAGGCTTCCCTTGGCTGCCCTTGCCTCACCACCCCTCTCTATGATCTATTGTTTGAGATATCAAAAAAATAAGGGTCTTGAAAAGGAAGGGAAAAAAATCTTGCATAAACAGTGAAAATATCTGATCTCCAATTATAGTTTCATATTTTTTCCAAATTCTAGGTTTTTTTCCTTGTGGACTCAATGTCAATTTTATTTACAATTTAAGTCCATACAAGGAGTCCATACAAGGAGTAAACATGCTTAGCAAATATAAGGAAGGGATGGTCCAACTTAATGCCCCTGTAAATCTAGTCTTGAAATTCCTACTGCCTCCTGTATTAATCAGCTCTCCTCTGTTACGTGGTTGCTAATAGTGTGGTGTCAGAGCTCCCAGTGCTCCACAGACCCAGCTCAGTGTAAGTTTTCACCTTGCTCTGCACATGACAGTGACAGATTGCTTGGCTAGACAAGTCCTCTGCTAACCCCTCCGTAATCTGTGCCTGGGTTCCTGCAAGTGAGTATTATTTCAGAGTGTGCTGAAGATGGGAAATAAATAACAAGCCTCCATCTCTTGTCTGCAGCATTTCTATCCTCTTCTGTTCCCGTTTGATGTGCTATTTTACGCACTTATCTACTGAGCAACACAAGGTGTGAAATTGCACTTCAGGTGTGAAAACACTTCCATGTCTCCAAAGCAGGGCTCCCCGCTCCTCTCAAACTGTTCCACTGAAAAAGCTGTCAGGAGGCTGACAGTCAAGGAGCAAATTGTGAGCCTGCACAGCTGTACAGATATCAAGTTACTGCGGGGAAAGTTCAGCCCAGTCATTAGCTGGAGGTGCCAGCTTGGCTCCCAGCGTAACTCTGGGGATGAAGAGGATCTTGCCAGCAAAAACCAACTTGTCACACAGAAAGGCAAAGCTTTGATTCAATTTCCTGATTGTATCTGGGAAGGGGAAAAAACACTTTATTGAAAGGTGGACTAATTTCCACCTTAATATTCAGTGTGGAGGGACTGAAATCTGTAACAACTTCAGACCCATCAGGGACACAAAGCCAAGAGAGGACCCTGTGCTCCAGCTTGACTCAATGTGAAACCAGACACAACTCCTACAGTATTTGTAGGGATGTCACTGTGCTTGGCACTGACAAGCCACAATGTGCACTGAAGCATTCCTCATGTGTAAGTCCTGGCTGCTGGTCTAGACTGCAGGGAACTCCCTGAAAATAAAGATAAGTAGGGGGTTTATTAACTTTTTATTTTTCTTTTTTTTTTTTTTCTGAGAAGGGCATTTCAAAATTTTGGAAGAACTCCACCAGGCTGATTTTTAAATATGAACAAGCAGGTAATTAGTACAATTCTCTGTTTGAAGTTCAAAATTTTTCTTTCTTTTCACAACCAACCCAACATTACCTCCCCCCTACGCTACTTTAGGGAAAAGCCCCCCTAAGAGGCCTGTGTCTCTTTTTCTAAGAAGACAGGGAAAGCACTGAGGTCTAGATTTAACCTCAGTATACCTTGCTGTCATCCTTCTTTCTGACTTTCACCAGTACTGGCAGCTCAGGTGGGATTCATCACGCCTAACTGCAGGCACATTCATCTGGACAGCGCCCCAAGGAGTCAACCAATTCATAATCAGAAAAGCAGATGCCATAATTCAGCAGTGATCAGGCAGACAGTGATGCCATTACAGATGATTTAGGTGTGAACACTAAAGCAAGACCCAGAGCTAAAGCACCTCATAGGATACTGTTTCAGCACGTCCCAGTTAATTTTGCAGGCGGTGAATGGATAAGTGTCTTATAATCATAAACTCTGGGATGTCACATCCCTGACTGAGGCCTCAACTTTTGCAAGTGAGGGATAACACAACTGGCTTTGAGGAAAAATGAGCAGCACACCACCAATGAGTTAAAGTCAGAAAAGTTGGCTTTTTCTTTAATATACCTCATATTTCTACATAATTGTGCACCAAGACCCTCTCTGTTCAGTACCAAGGTGGGTGGAGATTCTGCATGCAGCACCTGGATCAGGCTGGAAGGAGACTGTGCTCAAGGCAGAGCTAATACCAGGAGCCCTATTCACCCCCAAGAAAACACAGGCACAAAACCAGAGCAAGTGACAACTAAATCAGGCTGCTCATTCTCCTCAAGTTTATTCCACTGGGTGCATTTTACCAGCCAAAAGAATCAAGCTTGCCTGAACAGAAATAAAAGAGTAGGTGTGGATCATATATTTAGCATCTGAAATTTGCTTTGCAGAGTTGGTACATACGAGGCTGAGCTGTTATTCTGCTTCACTAACTAAATTCTAAGATCGTAGTTTTTCCTTCCTGCATTGTGCTCTTTGCAGCATCTTTTTAGGTTTCTCATCAGAAAACACAACTTTTCTTGTGATCCAGTCTGGTTCTCTGGGGTGGAAAGCTCTCCCCTCCTGTTGACTTTGCCAAAGAAAATCCAACCCCAGTTTCACAGTGAAATTAGTGGAGCTACAGCAAGGATGAACTTGATGATTTACTGAGGAATGTATGTGTAAGAGCATCTATTCATTATGAAGGCAAACATTTTCCATCTAATTACATGCTCAGGTTCAGTAATGGCCTCATTACCGTGGTGTCTCAGCACTCTGTGCTCTTCAGAGTGTTTACTTTTGTGCCACCTCCATCAAACACAAAAGGAAAAGAGATTAGAGCTGACATTCTTTAAAATGCCTAAGTGCTCACCTTCTGCTTAGGCACCCATCTCACTGACATGAGGAAGAGTGAGACCTCTTAATATCTGGGAGTGTCTGAGACTGCAGCTTGCCCACGGTTACACAGAAGTCTGTGAAGATTCAAGAACAAAGTCTAATTTTGCCAAGACCAATTTTAGCACAGCATCTACCAGGCTCTCCTCTCCATACAGGTTTTTGAACAGAAGTTCTCTGCAGAGCATTTTTACTCTGAACTCATCTTGCCTCTCTGGTATGAGTGGACTGGACAATGTTCATGTATACATAAAATATCAACATCTCTGCATTAAATACCAGAATGAAAAGCACTGAATCAAGGAATGCTGTGAGAAGCCAGACACATTTTGGGCTAGTGCTGCATCTTCTTACTCCAGAGGGTTGGGCAAAGCTCTCGTCGTGCAGATTGCTCTGTCTCCATCAACCATCAAACACCTCTCGAGAGTTCATCTGCAAAGGCAATCAGTTTTTCCAGGATTCTTCTAATGACCCATTTCTGTCATGATTCTTCTGAGGGAACTAACTGATAATGACAACTCAGGGGAATAATCAACTGTAATTTATGCGTTCCTGTTTTTGGAGCAGGGACCAGAGCGTGCGTTCTGCTTTCACTTGCACTGAGCACCACCATTATTAGCAAAGCTGACCCGTGACCAAGAGCACTGCAAACACAAAAGCATCCAACCCCCTGCCTGAATTTATATTTAGAAAGGAAGTAAACAACCAAAGACTCCTGACCCCTCACGTCTGTGGACTGCAGGGTTCCGCACAGCGCCGCGCGGACTTTCCCGCCCGCGCTCCAGGCAGGCTAGCTCATTTCCAAAAGCAGGATAACCATGTCAGCATGCTGCAATCCACACTAATAACAGCCGCAGCAGAAGAAAGCCTTGGGCCTGGAGCTTAATTTCCCCCAGCTGGCAAGCCCACGCTCCCAGCCTACATAATAAACGGCAGCGCCGCGTGGCAAAGCAGCCCCAGAGCTCGGCTCTTTGCTGCTCTGTGCAGGCAGCTCAACGTGGGGGCTCAGTTTGAGGCCCAGAAGACCATTAGTCCTGGCTTTGCCTCCCCTTTCAAGCAGCAGTAGGGCAGAACACTGAACATTCACACTCTGAACTGGGCTCACTGCAGCTGGATCAGGAAAATAGCTGGGAGGAGAATTAGACCTAAGCTTTTGATTCCAACTCCAATACCATGAAAGTCTGGATTAAGGCAGTTTATGGCCTACTGTATAAATCATACAAGAGCTGGGAGCTGCCTACTACATTGCTGAGAAGCCAACTTTGCTTTCCCTGTTCCACCAAGCCTCTTCTTCTCAGGTTCCCTCTCCTGGGGCTGGAGCTCTCTCACAAGGGAGAGGCTGGGATCTGGCAACCTTCACAACATGTGAGTCATCAGAGAACAGACCAGCAGCGCCTTCAGTTTGAAATGCAGCAGAAAAGAATGCTGGCTGCTCCCTGGAAGCACTGTTTGGCCTGAGGAGAGGGAATTGCTGGCATCAGTGACATGCAAGAGGGGCAGGAGATGAAGGCTCCCTGGAAGCACCTGCACAGGTCTCTGAGGAAGGAAAACTCCTCCTGGAGCACCTTGGAGCTCAGTTCTTCCGTGATCCTCCTCTGCTGCCTCAACAGCCCATGTCCACTCCATTTCACAGCACGAGCCCTCTCCTGGGACACATGTCAGCCTGCAGAGCCAGTTCAACATCTGCCTGCCCTCCCCAGCCCTGAGGAGGTGCAGCTTCAGAGCACAGACACCTCTCCAGATGCACAGCGTGACTCTCCTCTATAATAGGGGCAGTTCTACCCTTTTCCACATTAGTGCATTGCTGCTGCCTCAGAGAGGGGCTTGGAGCTTTACCAGAGGAAGCAGGGATGCACAGTGAGCAGATCAGGAAG